CACGCCACGGAGACTATAAATTCGCTGTTCAAACGGCGTTTTTTGCGGCCGACGGTAATAACCGAGGGTTGCAGGGGCCTGCCCTTCGTAAACCTGCTACCACCCAGCGGTTGCTGCAATTAGCATAAACACACAGCGTTCATTTTACAAACGCTCGCACGAGACTCACTGTTTACTTATCACGATCTGTCACACGCCACGAAAAACGAGGACGTCATAAAAGCCCACGCGTGGGCAGTGCGTGAGGGAAGGGACACTTCAGCCAGCACCAGAACAAGCGACTTTGGTGTTGATCACAAGTCGTAAAATGCCTTTTAAAAAAAATAATTTCCAGACATTTAGTACTTATATAATGTTCACAAACTATTATGATAGAATTACTCAATTTATTATATGGTTTCTGACAACAGGTCCAGACATAAAAGAACACAGACAACTCGATAATTGAAGCAACACGCCATGAGCCCCTGGCAGCCGTGGCAGGAAGGGCATTCTTACCAGAACACGCCATGTCCTTACGCTACATTAAATGAACCGCTATGAATTTGCTTTGCAACGTTAACCACATGCATTCAATCGCGACTCTCGCGCGCGCCAGCCGCCCTGCATAATAAGGACATAGTCGTATGTATGTGCAGTGGCAAGGCCCCAGCTGCATTTGCTGTACGTCTACGCACCCCACGCACCGACAACAGCCCCCCCCCCTGCGACAATAGCTGCGCAGTCGCGACACCCACCCGCCCGTGTACATACGTAAATTGCTATTAGCTTGAGGCTCAAGCATGAGCTCGCTGCTCTGGAAGGCCACACGGTGCGCCATATCGGCTGGTGTGCCACCGTTGGGTGGCAAAATATCTATCCGTTGTTTTGATTTTTCTGGCCTCAGCGTCGTTTGCGGCGCTCGGCGCGAATGCACACCAGTGTGGCGGAGCGCTCTAACTCGCGTCGCGTTGGCGGTTGTAACACATCTCCCAATCGTACATATATATTAGTAGATCCGAGTAGAAAGCAGAATAAAGTTGTGCTGCCAGTGCTTAATACGTTCATAAGCTACTTCGAGCCAGTTCGTATATTATCAAGTACTTTGTCGAGCGAACACCTAGTAGCAATACAGGCAGCACACCATGGGAAAAAATTTAATTTATTTTTCGGGGGCTACTTTTCAAGCTCGCGTGCATAAAAATAGCACTTCTAAATTTGGCTGGTTTGATTACCTCATAGTGCAAATTTTACGGGGGCTCTTTTTGGCATTTCTGGGGCTCTTTTTGGCATTTCGGGGGCAATTTTTCAAGCTCGCGTGCATAAAAATAGCACTCTAAAATGTGGTTTGCATTAAACTCTATGCAAGAATTTACGGCGGGCCTCTGTTTGGGCATTGTCTGGGGCTCTTTTTGGCATTTCGGGGCCTTAATTCCCCCGAGCCCCACGCTGTATTTTTTTTTCACTTGCAGCATCACGCAGCACACGGACTACCCTTTCTGGCGCGGCGGCGCCCTCTGGTCTGCGGTGTGCACCCTACTGTAGCCGTTCTGAGGGGGCGCGACCGGGAGCGGCGACCCCTGGCCGGGAGTCCCGTGCATGGAGTCGGTCGACGCCGATCCTCGTCGCGTCGCCGAGAAGCTTTGCCTCAAACCTGCCAAACACCCGAAACACACGCGTGGGTTGAAGTGACCCGACTCTCTCTCTATCTCTCTGTCTGACTGTCTTTCTCTCTCTCTCTCTCTCTCTCTGCTCTCTCTCTTCTCCTCTCTCTCTGTCTCTCTCTCTCTCTCCTGTCTCTCCATTCTCTCTCTCTCTCTCTCTCTCTCTCTCTCGGTCTCTCCAGCTCTTTTCTCTTCTCTCTTAACCCTCTCTGTGTGTATCTGTCATGTCTAACCCGACATCAGCACACTGATATGCACGCATGAAATGCAGCCTACCTTGATGCAGAGAGCCATGCACCTGCTGTGAATACGAATCGCTCTCAGGACTCGAATCCGATGCCGACATCGGCGAATAATCCTCCGCCGCACGCATGGCCGCATTCGAGTCGCTGTGACGCTCCGCAGGGGGCGCCACCGCGTGCCGCCCCGGTACGTCGGCGGACGCGGCGCGCGGCTGCCCATTCCGCGGCCTCGGCGCCTGCGACGACGGCGGCGAACGCGCCCTCTGGTGGCTGGACGATGAGTGGGCGGCGGCGTTTCTTGGCACACGGTACGGACGAGACGTCGCGTCGAGGCTGCCCTCGCAGCGTCGCCGCGGCGACTGCACGCTCGCCGCCATGTACACGTCCTCGTCCGTCGACGTGGACGAGTCGTCGCCCAAAACCCCCGCCGGGCCTCGCCTCAGCGCGTACGTCGTCGCGGGTCCTCGCTGCTGCAGCAATGGCGGCCCGCCGGAGAAGCTCGCGCTGCGAGGGATGTAGGGGACAGTCGGGGACGCGTCGACGCGACCGTGTTGGTGCAGGCGAAGGTCACTGACACTGCTGTAGCTCGCGATGCCCTTGCCAGGCGAGCCGCCGCGCACCATCGGCGAAAGCGGACTGCTTAGTACTGCAATCAATCAGATTATTGATCACTCTGCTAATCGATCAGTCCAAGACAATCAATCGAGAACATGTTGCTCAATCAAGCAATTGATCAGTATGACGCAACCACTTAATAGCACACCTAACTCAGATGTTGAGGGAGAGTTCGAAACCAATTTGGAACGATTATTTTACAACTATGACAGGGCCACAATTAAAAAAATCGTTGTTTGACCTCACCCGACCCAGGCTGAAAAGTTTGCATTAATGTATTGCCTACAGATTTATATAATGTACAGTAAAAAAAAAGATCACATCAAGAAAATTTTTTGAGTCTGCCCCTTTTTGGCGGGTCGGTCGGGTGAAGGCAAACAAACAATATTTTTATCATGGCCCAGAGTCTTTACGTACTAATTTCATCAAGTTTATAAACGAGTCGTTTGCGTGTAAACTGTAGATCTGGATTGGGATCCTCATCGTAATCCTTTCGTATCCACTTGTATGGACTGACAGCTTTTTGCTGCGGCGTTGGTTGCTTTGGCGACTCAAATAACCTGATAAATAAGAAAATGAGTCATAAATTCATATCGTGACAAAACTATTTAGTAGTCAAAGACGTCCTGCCATCCACAAAGTTTTACTTCTGATGGGTGGGTACAATCCACTAACACTAACAGGGATATGTCTCATAGCTGGGTCGGGTATTCTATATTTTGTGTAGGGTTAGCTAGACAGACTGGCGCCAAATGTAAAATCTCACGGCACTCAAAGCAATCCCAGAAAACATCAAAAAACATCAAAAAACATCAAAAAACAT